GGAAAGGAAAAGATAAATTGAATCAATTAAAGCTAAATTGAATAAATTAACATGACATGTAATATCGGTGTTATTTTTGGCTGTTGATCGAGTTTGACAGCTTTGACAGCTTCAACATTTTCAGTGCGGATGCAACAGCGGAGGCAAAAATTTGTCATGACAGAATTTTTCCACTGATTCCGTCAGGACAATTCTAGTTTTGTCTGCTAAATGCATAGACCCTATGACGTATGAAGGTAAAAAAAGGCCTATTCCTTAGATATTTAGTCTCTATTTTTCCTCAAACTAATTCCTCATAGTTTTAATCAATTTCCATTTTCAACAGTCTTGTTATCAATTTTTTTTTTTTAAAAAATGCCTGGTGTTTTAGATTATATTGACCTTATGGTAAAAGTTTTTATTACTCATCATGGTTGTAAGTAACCTTAAACTGATTAATCGGTTGTCTCATGATGAGCACGCCAACAAGACCGGCAACTTCCCACTTTGGAACGAAGTAAAGTTTGTCGATCGAGACTCGCATTGGTACACCAGAAGAGTCAAGGAAGCTATCCACATAAGACTTCACCCTCATAACATCAACGGGGAGTACAAAATCGAAATTCCTGAAGCTTGGAAATCAACGATCACGAAACACAACGGGAGACCGTTACGACAGCAAACCGTCGAGGGAATAACATCGGGTCAGATCTCTCGGAAAAATAGAACCGTCACCGGAACAATGGGGATCGAAATCTGCCAATCACTTTAGATCGCGTGAGCCTGAGTCGACCCAATCACCTGATGAAGACTAGCAGTAAGCAGTCGAAATGTCGTGATCTACATCTCAAGTGACTTCATCGTTGATCTTATGATTTTCTCTACAGAATCTCTTGGGAATATAATTGATTGACAACGTTTCCCGGTCTTGGTTGCCATGAAAACTCAACAGCAAGGCACTAATCGTTCATTGGAAGTGTCCTTCCCCGATGATTGGAGTCAGAACACCCCTAAGGTAGGCTATGGTTCGTCTAAGAATACTAATTTCACGTTAAAAAGAACAGACATCACTTATACTGCAAACATAGGCATACTACGCATGCAATAGTTATTTTTTTTTTGGATGGGTTGGTTGAGATGGGACATTTTGAGTGACTAACTTTTTCAATATTGTAAAAGAAAAAAGACATTTACTTTTAAAGTTTCCACCAAAAATTTCGTTCGATTGAGAGCAAAATAGATCCTTCCACTGAAATTATTGGAAATAAACTCAGAGAAAGGTATTTTGTGGTCTGTTGCCATTGTTGTCTGAACAATTCTAAGCAGAAAAAACTGCTTTGGCGCCGCGCTTAGTGGCTCCTTAGCAGCCGCTGTTTGGTGTCGTCACGCGACGTGCTCTCTCTCTCCCCCGTCCCCTTGGCGTCACGAGACCAAACGAAAGATGCGAATGAGACTTCGCGAGTGTTTTTTAAAATTTTACAGCAGAAAGTGAACCGAAACTCAATTTGATCTCCAGAATTTAAATATTTCGTGGTCCCTTCTCTACGAATAAGTGAAAATGCATTGAACGAGGAGAAAAAGAATCATATTTTAAAGGATTTTACGAGGGGATAACAACGTTGGACTAGCTTATTTGGAACATGGAGGTTGTTTACAAGGCAATGATACGTGATGGGGTGAAGTCCAAAGTAGCCTAAGGCGGATTTGGTTGGTAGAAAACGTCAAAGCGTGTGAGAATTGCGTGTAAATTTTTTTTGTCGTGGAATAGTGTGTCTTAAAATTTAGGGTTGTTTACTGGAAAATGTCATTTTTGGGGAGAAAGCCTAAGCATGTAACATGGGATCTTCTAAAAGTATAGACACGGATATTGATATGGCTGTTGAATGTTAACTTGGCTATCAACACAAAAAGTAAATATAGCTTGATGATCTTTTCTATCTTCGCCAAAAGAGAAACCATGAGGAAAAAACCAAAATGTCGATCAAATGTGCTTTATGCAAAAACTTTGCGCAAATTTTACCAGAGTCAGCAAAACTAGCCCTTCCAAAACAAACGTTTTGGAAGCGATACATACATACATATACTTTATTTAATCTCGAATTTGGAGTAGCTAAAGAGTAAGCTAGTATCTTCGAGTTACAAGTATAACTTCCGGTTGGGACTATTGCTGACGGCGTATACGATGTTAGTGAAGGGACGGGATACAAAACACGATGTAACTTTTTACTGGTGGAAAATTTCCCTGCCGACTTCTGTTACCCCGACAGACCGTAGCGACGAGGTTTAATCGAAGGTAATCCAGCACACAAACCATTGTTAATTAAGTTAAATTGTGATATCAGGGAAACTTATATTTTCATTTGCATTTAATTTTCCCTTCAACCTCTTCTTTCTTTGTTTGAATCTCTTGGGTAACGGAATGGTTATTAAGAACAAAGAGAACTTGTCAACAACAGGCTTTGAGCTTATCATTTGTTTTATTTTCCAGACTGTCACTATGAGGCTTGAAATCACAGCGAAAACCTTTACATTAGCAGCCCAGCACCTTCCTTCACCCAACCCAAATTATGCGAGAAAAATAACTTTTATTGCCTCAAATCTTTTTCATCTGATCCGGGTGGAAGACAGGTGCGATGTGGTTCACTTCGACTCTGCAAAAAAAAGGCCACATCACCGATGTGGCTTGATTAACCAACGGGTTTGTTATATATTATCGAGGTTCGACCTATGTAGTTCACCATTTTGGTAATGAAGAACAATTGTGTTTGAAACAGGTAATTTTCTGGTACGGCTTTTCGCAAAAAGCCCCGGGGGGCGTTACTGGGGGTGGGCGCTTATCATTATTCGCGTAATACTGTATTCAACTCGACGAGAAACTAAAACTTTTTTCGACAGTAAAAGTGAGCCTTTTTCCACTCTATTTAATGAAAGACGAAGAAAATTCAAATATTTTTTCGTAACTCAGCGACTAAGTGTCTTTACGTAAGATTCATTTCAGAGACCTCAGCCTTTGAAATTATTATGCTTTATTTTTCTACATTATGAAGCTTACAATTTTACGAAGTGCACGGTGTAAACTACACAAGCAAAATAATATCTATCGCCTCAAATCTTTTTCATCAATTCCTGTTGGAGGCAAGCCGATCCTTTGCGGTTCACATCACTTCGATTCTGCAACAAAAAAAAAGAAGAAAGCCACATCACCTTTATTAACTAGAGGTTTTAGATTTGCATCGCGTTTCTTAAATCGCCTTTTTTTGGGGGGGGTTCGTTCGGATAATGACGAGAGATTATAAACAGTTTGTTTTTTTTTTCTTAACAATAAATGTTGAGTCTTTTTTGGTCAAGACTTTTTACCACGGGTATTCTCGCTGTTCTTTCAAAATCCTTGCTATGTCGATGCAGACCGCCCAGTTTCAAAACGAAAAGGGTGGAATTTCCCCTTCATTTTACAGAGATCATGACTGTACATTTGTCGTCAAATCTTTCTCACTGAACTTTATCGCAGATATAAAAACAGTCACACCTGTATTCCTCACCATACATGAGCTTTTTAATTTCCATCAGTTATTCTACATTAAATACTTTTTTGTTTATTTTCTTTCAGTTTATCTACCCTAATGGCTTTTCCTGTCCGAAATATCTCATTTATATAACTTACCTAACGCAAGTAAACTGCCAAAACATCTGCAATTCCAACGTTATCTGCAATATCAAAGAGCCCGTTTACAGAATGACGCCTTCGTTGTGTTGTTTACACATCTGCTCGCAGAAACTGGTAGTTGAGCTAACCGCATTGGATCCATGGGGCATAATGATGGGAGACCCTGGATCAGGGCCTCTTCATGGGCACCCTGTCAACCCAACAACCTTTGTTTCCCAGATCTCGCCTCATGATGGGTTCCTTTGTGTATCTTCATTAGAGCTCGCATTAGAGGCCGAGCTGTAGCTACCCAGGCTACCGGATTAAACTTGAAAGAACATGCCCTGAAAATCAAATGCTTGGGCTAAAATGTCCCATAAAAGAAAAAAAAAGGGGCGAAACTTCTCCCACAAATGAAATAAGCTTGGTGACTTGGATCACGGGTTAAAGCGAGATCCGTATAGCCTGTACATCCGATTGTTGCAAAATTGAACTTAGCTACAACTTACCCAGACGCCATCCGGCAGTTGCCAGAGGATTATTCTCTTTGATTTCTTTGCACAAACTACCCAGAATTTGTGGTGGGCTGGTTCAAACTACAAGCCCTTCTAGTCCATATATACCATCACATGGCACCAACTTTTTCTCCTCGACCTTCAACAGCCCGGCCGTTCTTTTTCTGTCACATGCTCACTCGCCTGGACGACGGAGCTTTGGGCCTTTTTTTGCATTTACCACTCACTGCGATAAACAATGTGCAGGCCACGAGAATGCACGAAATGAGTAAGTTTTTCATGTTCAACGAATATCTACAGAAGAGGACAACAATTTTATCAGATTGTGAATCAGATATTACGTCAGTTTAACAAATACAAAAATATTGGATCAGAAACAGTAGATTAAGTTTGTATGTTGTAATTCTAAGTCGTTTTTGGGTGGTTGACTTTTTTGTTTCAGCATGAAAAAAACAATTTGTGACATTTTGTCTCAATGACACGTGTGCATAAAACTCTGTAAAACAAACAAAAAAAAAAGGGCTGCGCGTACCGCGAATCTCTTTGAAGTTTAACGATTCTTTTCACCAGTCTGAAATCAAGCGGTTTGAAACTTGTGAAGAACGATTGAACAGATTATCATGAAGTTTCCATTTGGGTTTTATCAACGAAGAGTTGGTGAATGTGCCGGAAAAAGCTGTTTCCTGTCATCTTTCGCTGATCTAACCTGACTTGCTCTGAGGACCTACTGACTGAGCTCATCAGAACGAGTTCTTAAAGAAAGGGAGCGAATTTCTATGTTGAATGAAATTCTTGGTTTCCAATTAGCTACTGATGACGTTTAAGATTAATAATTGACAGCATCTAAATCTATTAAAAAAATTCGTCATTGTCCTTATAATTAACCCTTTGCCGTGGTGTCCCATTTTCGATTGTTTTGAATTAATGACTCTCGAACGATGTCATATTAAAATTGATCACGGTAATTAGTTCCCACGCAATTGGTGAAACATTTTTCCCGTTCACAAGAAGGTAGTCTTGACAGCTTTTAGACAAAGACAAGGGGTCTTAGATAAGGGCAAGTCATAATTTATCACCTAGGGGGAGGGGAGATTGAAGGATTTTCGTTGTGTCGCGATTTAAGCTACCTGATTCCCCCCCCCCCCATAAGGCTCTGTGTTACTCTTACGAACCCCTCCTCCCCCTCATTGGCAGTTTATTGGTCGTCACTTTTGTTAAGTCCTTCGTTTATTAATGTTTATACTCTGTTGGACGACGAATGGTCCCCTCAGACCCCCACTATGCAACTGAGCGCAGGTTCCTCTGTAACAATTTAGGACACTTCTTAATCGATAGATAGATAGTTTATCTATATAACTTTGCAACCCAAAAGTTGAATTATTTACATGGTTAAAAATAATATATATATATATATAAATGACATTTATTACCAAAGGGAATAAATTAATTTATGCAACTGCGCCGCGTTTTATCATCACCCCGGATGGGTTACATCCGGGACTTACAATGGCAGATACTTACAGCACTAGGTTATAGGCAAGCGAGCAAGAGGCATAAATCCTACATAATTAAAGAGATTAATACTAGATCTACAAGCGCAAACTATTAAAATATGGAATCAGAAATCTTATACCGTAGGTGCATTTGAAACAATGAAACTTTTGCGAAATCTCTGTCTTGAAAACCGGGTTGAATATGCGTGACTTCCTGAGGTTACAACACTTGGTATTTTGTGGGGGGAGTAAATTCTTAAGCTTACTGTCTTTGTTTTCCAAAATGTTCCTAAAAAGTTTGTCCATCAGGGCTTGTCTTCTGCCTGACAGAGTTACTAGACCTGCCTTAAGTTGCGCTTCGTCATAAGGAAAACATGGAAAAATGATACGCATCGCCCTCTTAAGCAGAAACCCAAAAAGAAACCCAAAAATTGTCGGCTTAATTAGCAACGGGCAGGGTGTAAGAAATGGATAAGAACACACTTCAGCGTTTCAAGAGATATTTAATGAAAAGAAAATGCTACGCTCTTCTTTTCGTAATGCATATTACCGCTTGTCTTTCCTTTGGCCTTTTAAAAAACTCGTGCAAGAAGCCGGAAACGCCTTTTTAAAATCGTATTTTCTTTTAAGTACCTCTCGATGATGATATCGGTTGCCATACCCGGTAAGGGGTAGTAAGACGTAAATAAGATAGAGGAATCCCAACAGAACATGTCTCCTCCTGCTCATGCAATCAAACCATATGAATTATATGACAGAATATCACGACCGAAAATGAATCACAGCCACCACCCGTGCAATGACAAAAACAAATTTTTCATGTCATAAATTGATCCCAAGACTTTTATTTCAAAATGAGTTGATAAATAATCAAGCGTATACTGAAAACAGAAATAAGTCAACCACTATCAAAATTATTATCGCTTTACTCAAGAAGGGAATACTTTATCTTTATCCTAAATTCTATTCCCGCACTTTACATCACAATACGACAAGGAAGGACCTCAAAGCCATTGTGACGAAACAGAATCTCAAAAAAATCTTTAAGTTGTTACGGCCAACGGTGTTTCATCCTTTCTTAAATTACCCTCAAAATGAAAAGATACCAAGAGAAGTAGCTTATCCATCGGTGATCATTAAAAGCACTCGAATTATCAGAAACGCAGCATGTCCAACAAGGATTAACATCCCACTTTCCCAGTGGATTAGATTTCACCAATTCCTCATATATTTTCAAACAGAAAGAGGAAATTAATTTTAAAATTCAGATATTTCACCACTTTCGTTCCCATGAAATTTGAACTACTGATTGTTCTTTAATGAATTTGTATTTCTAGGTCATACATACGAATTAAACTTTAGTATAAATGTTGGCTTCCTTCTCTATCTGCGTTTGCAGTGAAGGGAAATGAGTTCAAAACAAAAAAAATTTCTAGATCATACAGGTGGATTAAACTTTGGTATAAACTTTGGCTTCCCTCGAAATCGACATTGGCAGTGAAGGGAAATGTGTTTAAAACAAACGGTCACGTCTGGTGGAATGACAACTTGCCAAACTTGACTGCTACATGTACAATCTACTCAGTTATGCGCCTGAGGAAAATAAAACGGTTCGATTCCCTTTGTCAGAATAATCGCTAGTCATGAGTTGTAAAGGAAAGTGTTAAATATCCATCTTCGCCCCCTCCCCCCCCCCCCAAGAAAAAAAATGTGCTTTATCGATTGTGGCAGAACTAAAACCTTCGAGTATTTCATGCAAATGTACGAAAAGCAAGAGATTTTTAAGAAAAAACCAAATGCAGGATAAGAAATTTTGGTTATATCAACTCAGATGATGATGTAAATTAGCGGCCATAAAGAGTTTCTAAAGCGGACGTTTCGATCTTCAGCCTCCCGTCAGAGATTTCAGAAAACGAAAAAAGGTTCGTTTACGGGGTTGAATTTCAGGTGACAGCATCAATACTGCATACCTTCCACTTCCCCTTTGTTATCAACTGCATTATACTTGACCCAGTCTCTTGCAATTGGAGCATTAAGCATTTCGTTGGTGAATCCAAATGCATCACACAGTGCAGTAGCCTGCGGTGCCACTTCTCGACACAGGTCAGCAGCTACCTTCCCAACTTTAGCCCCAGTCCACGTGGACATCAGCCCCGAGGTGGTAAAGTAGCCGAGATCCTTCTTGATGACTGACATCTGATAGAGGTGATGAAGTTTCTGGAGAACTGGTTGCAGACCGGGATCAGCTTTATCAAGAGCTTTGTCAAAACATTCACTGATAAGTCGTTCACCATACGCCCGAGCAGCAGCTTGGACAAGATCCTGTTCCTTGTACATCCAGGAGTCGAACCTTCCTTCCTTACCAGCCTTCATCATCTTCATTCCGAGGGTCAAAAATAGATCTTGCTCTCGTGACTCTAACAGCTTCTGCAAGTATTTAGGGTTGTTGAGATTGGCCCAGCTGAAGATCCTGGTCGCAGCCTTTGGCACATAGCTGCTTGCTACCTCCATCATGGATGGCTTGAGACTCATCAGCCTCTCTGAAGCCACTTTTTGCATCAGGACTGAGTTGTCACCTTCGGCCGTCATGGAGGAGTGCGAGCCAGCGATGCCACTGCCAAACTTGTTACAGGACAAATAGCCTTGGCCCCCGCACCTTTCGCGGCAAATGGCAGCTGCTTCAGCCACATGCCAGCCAGTTATGGCCTTAATAACGCAACACATAATCACCACATCTGCATGGTCAGATCCATCATCTGCCTATGAAGGAAATGGAATGATAGGATCTAAAACAAACTCTATCAGGACCTCGCCGAGCCTCTGCTGCTCACAGCTTTTCTTGAGCTTTGCTCTTCGAAAACTTTTCACTTCTCGGAGCAGATAAACATATTCTTCTACCAAATAGAAGCTATTGTTTAGATAACCAACTAGCAACTTTCAACAAAGGAATAACAATATTGTTTACTGAAAAACAATTATAACATAACCAAAGTAAAGCGCGCGCTCTAATTGGTCAATTTAGCGTCCCCCATTTGCCCATGGGTGTACGCTGCTGACGTGAGCAAATGCAAAGACTATTTTTCCGCGCGCGCTTGTTTTTTCTGGTCGCGTAAGATTTGTTAAATAAGAGGGAACTCTTTAGCTACAATGTATCAATGTTATGTTATAAAACAAATGNAACTCAATAGTGTACGCTGTGGTGTTTACCATTTGTTAAAGACAAAGATACGTGTACTGTTTCAATCATTTATTACTTGATATTAGACATGTACCTGATAAACCCAGCGATCCTTAACATACTGCAGTGCAAAATCCATGGCGTAAGTAGCAGCCAGAAGTGGCATCAGAGCGTTTTGTTGGAGCTGATACTTCAGTATGGGTGTGTCAGATTTACCATCAGGACCCACTGTAAGGCGAGTTGCTGAGTAGCGGATGGCAATGGCAAGACAACCTTTGGCTGCACCTTAAGACATAATAAGAAATACCAGTATTTGCAGTGCTAGTTCTTTACAGAAGGTAAATGAACATCATATAAAATGAATAAATGCACAGCTGTGAAGGCAGCAATCAGCACCTCTGATGGGTGTGGTACAAAAATCCAGAACGGAGCACTTCACTGTATGGGGTGTAAAACTCAGAGCCTACAAAGCCTATTCAAGTCAAGGCAACACTAAATTCCAGATGTTACAGATATGATCACTCCATCCCCTCCCTGATAATTCAATGACACCCATTTCTACTCCTGGGTGGAAAAAGAGACTGTGAGAGTAAAGTGTTTTGCCCAAGAACACAACATGATGGCCTTGCCAGATCTTGAGACTGGACTGCTCCACATCGAATATAGTACAATAACAATTAGACCACCTTGCCTCCCACAGCTGGCTCTATAGTGTTTATCAAATTTAGTTCAAATTAGATGTTTTCAAAATGTTACATCTTAAGAAAAGACACATAGGGAGTCATAGAGATCAGAAAAGGGGAGGAGAGAGAGTAAGCTGGCCGAAGCGCTGGGGCCCAATTGTTTGAAAGCCAGATAGTGCTAACCCAAGGTTAAATTTTCACATGGGGTTTACTCCTTTGTTCAAAAGTCTTTTTGGGCTAATTTTCTCTATTCTATTGAGAGCATCCAAATAACAAATTAGAGGGAAAATAATCATACTATAATTTCTTTTAAACTTTCAGATCTGAAATCCAATTTCACCCCGATCACAAGTTATCTTAACCCAGCTTGGAACAACTTGGCCCAGAGCTCTAGTATTTGGCGTATAGTGAACAACGGAATAAACAGTACCTTGTGACATGCTAGCTATACAGAGACGGCCTGAAAGAAGCTGGTCTGCTACAGTCAGGAAACGCTTGCGGATACTTCCTTCTATGCTTGTGGTATAAGTTCCATCCTCAGCAACATCAGAATACAAGTTGAGTAGGTTTTCTCTGGGCACACGCACATTGTCAAAGAAGAACTTGGCATTGTCCACTCCATTCAGACCCATTTTATGTCCCATGTCATGAATCTGAACTCCAGGCAGCACATTAAGGTTCTTGTCTCGAATAGGTACCAGTACACCATGGATACCTGAAATGAACAATGTTATTGTAAAATGATTTGTAAAATGACTCAGGTAATGCACACACCCTGATTTTATGATTTATGATTTACAAGATTTACCGACAGGCAGGGACACCGCAACAGCTTTGCGCCAATTATTGTGGGCCCAGTAACCCACCCATCCCACCCCAGGGGAGGACATCCACCACACAGTAATCTCATGTGTGAGAAATTAACGTCTCCTACCCCTAACCCTGCAGGAGACGGGACCTCCATTTATTCGTCCTTATCCGAGAAGACTAGAATATCTAACCGTTTCTTGATATTATAGAAAGGCAGCATATTCTTCTCAATTATTTTAAGACCTTGAGTGTTGGTCTGGCCGGGGCTCAAACCCTGGACCTCCCGCACAATAGCACAGCGCTCTATCCATTGAGCTAACCGGGAGGCAGTGTAACCAGATAGTGCTAACCCAGATAGTGCTAACCTAACCCTATGTAACCTCTGAAGATCTTCAAAACCATACTTGCATTGGAGGGCCACTCAGAGTGATTGGCTACATAGTTTCACGCTGTGTAATCACTCACTTCAACTGAAGAAACCAGTGAGCAATTCAGCCTGAATCATTTTGGATAGAGACCAAATACAATCCAGTCAGTTTCTTCTTCATTTTGTCCACCCAATGTGAAATGAACATTTTTGCTTCTTCACTCCTACTAGTCAATGGGCATGTTTCCATGAAAGCATGTGTGAACATGGTTGCATTGTTTACAATTTGTACATGTGCACCAGAAATATGTTATAAGAGTATTATCATGGTTTATCACTTTGACAGGTATAATATGAACCAACATAATGACCAGCTCCCAGTTGACTTGTTAGCTCAGTTGGTAGAGCAGTGCATCAATGTTGCAGAGGTCATGGGTTCAAATCTGATGTGGGCCTGAATTTTTTTCAGGCCTTACTTCCACTACTACATAAGTAGGGTTCATTATTAATACAAGGATTGCTTTCATACATTTCATGAAACTGCAATGCACATATATGATTTTCATATATTCAAATGCATTATTAGAGGCATGTCTGCATGCTTGCAAACAGTAGCATTGGCTGACAAATGTTAGTGGGTTAGAAGTCTCCAAAGTTATGAAAACCCAAGATACTGTAAAAACCTGCAGATAAGCTGCACCTTTTTTCCAAAAATTGTCACTAGAAATTGGGGGTGCAGCTTATCTGCGGGAACATTTGAAAAAGGCATTGTGAATGTT